ATTTCCTGCAGCGAAAATGATGTTCTCGACCACGCACATGTGGCATTTTTGTGAGGCTGAACAATTACTCATTTTCTCCTGCAAGTATCGCTCATTCATGAGTGACATCAAGTTTTGTTGACTGAGCTGTGAATACGTACGCATTTTGCCTCATGTTTTTGTCATTCGAATTATAATTTTGTGTTACTAACTTACTTAAAGCTTTGTAGATCTTGATTTAATTTATATTCATTATTTCGAATTTGAGCACCTATGCATATGTTAAACCAAAAATTTCAGCTTATTATTTTGTGTGTTGCCGTGCTAAAAATGGGTAATAAAATGGAAACGCACACACACAAACGCATACGCAAATGACCTCTTGTCAACACACGTTTTTGCATGCGCATAAATATGCAAAAACGTAGAAAAATTTGACACTGATTCGTTTAAATCTACACTGATTGTTGTTGAAGACAACCAGTTTTTCCACAATTCATTTATTTGTTCCGATGGCAAACTAGTACTGCCATATTCCAAGGAGCCAAACCAAGCCATCAGTTTGCGTTTGTGCAACTCTAGTAAGAAGGATTTGTCGACAGCACTGCTAACGGATGATGACTGTTGACGTTTGCTGCTACTCGGACTGCTTACCTAGTGTTTTATTGTCTTTTGCAGAAGGCGAATATGGAGAGTTTGTCTTTTGACTGTTACTGTTGATGTTTTGCATATATGTGGCTACCGTGCGGGATCATCTCAATAGCGTCATTAGAGTGCAGTTTTGGTTGCCCAGGCGATCTTGAAATATTCAAGGTCTTGCGAAACAAGTAATCGAAAAGTGCTTCTGATGGCAGCAGATGACTGATTATTGCGACATAAGCCGAGTTCCGTCGACTGCTTGCCCCATTACATTGAGTAAGACGTCCAGCTGCTTTGTCCAATGCTGCATCACACGGTGGTCATCCTGCTGGCGATCGTGATGCTCATTTTTGTCTCCTAAAAGGATTACCAGTCAACGGCTGCGTAATGAGCGTCCTTGTTTTATATTAACGGTTGTTTTTTGATCTCTGATGTATAGCCATATTTAACAACAGTCCCGGTTGGGGTTGTTTTTGTTTTGAGAAATCCCAAATAAAAAGAAAATCACTCATTTTGGTAATAGTCGAGGAAAATATTTTTATCTTTTGATCGTAGCTAATTGAATACACTCAAACTATAAAACGGCGTTGTTTTGCCTTAGTGGGTTGGAAGTGAATATTTTCGCTATTTTTTTTTTACGAATTATTTCACACCACTGCTACACGCTTCCAATAACACAAGCATCTTACCTTTTTGGAACTTAAGCTATCCTATGCACTTTCGCTAGGAAACTTATTTTATGCTGTACATAGTTTCATCGAAATCCGACGCGAGAAGACCTTCCATTTGTCTCTTTCGAAACAGTGACTGGAAAAACAGGACGACTTTTCAGAAAAAATTCTTACAGAACTCAATCCTAAACAGCGTTTTTACGAAGTTAGTTTTTAACTGACACCTGCAGAGCTATGCTAGGAAGCCAAAGAAGAGATTCGGATGAAACGTTCTCAAAAAGCTCTTCTGGATTTTCTTCTTTGGGTCAACGTTCTTCCTGTTCGTTCTGAATATAATTAATTTTAGCATAATTTAAAAAAATATGGGCATTCATTTCCCAATTACGCTGAAATTAGTTGTATTCTGGCCGCTTTTTGAACAGTATGATCCTGCAATGGTTCTTGTTCTAATCAGCACGAGACTGATAAATTAATAGTCGAAACCCTTCCGTATTTGCTTTCAATGAGAGGTTAAAGCAAGCGCGAAGTAACCCGAGTGATTCAAATGTCAACAACAACTACTAGCCAGCAAGGCTAGCAAAACTCCCTTTTTACGCGTTTTTGCATCGATGCATTGCAAAAGCGCATACTACCGAGCGGTTGGTTGTCTGTCTGTGTGTATGTGTCCGTGTCTACGTCTGCACCGAGTTTTTATTTCAAGAACCACGCAAGCTAGTAGACTAAAAATTCACGAAGATGTCATTTGCCAGTATTCAACTCCAAAATTTTAAATTTACCCC